CACATTTGTGGAATTACTCATCTGCTCCTGTGACAGTGTGCTGGGATATATGCCAGAAAAATTTGTCCCTTTTTTTGCAGCTTCATAAGCCAGAATACTATGGAAACCACTTTTGGCTCTTACTACAATGAAAATATGAACTCGGAGTCTGCTGTACCTGAACTTGAATCACACAGTGCTTGTAGACTTGGACAGGAAGGAAGTAGGGAAGGAAGAAGACATCACATATTTTAAAGAATCAGTGTCAGTGTCTATTGTGCTCAATAAAACAGTGAAGAATTTTAGACCTATGTTTGTGTGAATTCAGGAAACTGGAGTGACAAGCTGGCACAGCAACTCTTGCTGTGTGCCAGGGTTTCCTATGAATCTTGAAGTAATTCTGATTTTTCTCATTTGACAGTTGTTGTTATGGTTAACACCAAAAAATCCTTAATCTAATGCCTTGCTCTCAATTTGGTGTTGGCATTTAGGTTGAAAATCTGCTGTAATTTCTGTGGTATTTTGGCTGACGTGCTGGAGTGGTACTTGCTGAAGCACTTTTTGAAATTCAGTGTTTTGTTCTGATATTGTAAATTACTTACAATAATGTTTATTGACTGAACTTGTTGAGTTTTTCTGCACTAAAGGTCTTACAACATAAACTCTTGTTCATCATATGCAGTCTTCATGTGGGATTTTTACTTAATTGGGGATTTTTGTTTTGCTTTTGTACCCCCAAAATCAGATTTTTAGATTCATACTGCATTAAATAGCCTCTTATTTCTGAAAATGTAGATGCATATCCTATAGAAGTGTGTAATGATGTTATAGAAAAACTTATCTGTGTTTCTTAAGCGATTAAAATTTAGATCGTTACATTTAGAGGCAATGTATTTTGAAAAGGGAGTGAGCAAATAATACGTTGTGACAAATGGGTTTGTATAAACAGGAAGAAAAAGACTTGAAGAATAGCTTATGAAGATCTTATAATAACTGAGCACATGTATGTTCTAGTAAAAATACTCTAGAAATCACTATTTTCTTCAAATGTGCCATGATTTGTGTCATTCCTGATGCATGCTGGATTTTCGTTGTCCTAAAAATTAACTGGTTCACTGATGCCTCCCTTGAGAGAGGAGTGCAGTTTCAAACTTGGTCTCCTTGCAGGAACACATGGACTAGTTGCCTTGTTTTCCTGGCCTATCTCTATATACTGTGTTGTAAGGAAAAACTTGACCACCAGCAGCCACCTCAGTTTAGTAGCAGTTAAACAAGTCGATCACAACAACATTATGAAATGGGGCTCGTGTAGTCAAAATGCTCTGCCTAGATAGTTACTGTGACTGTTTTCAAAAATTAATTTGTTGCTTTTGCTATATCCATGCTGTTCTATCTACTTTCCAGTTTAGGTAAGGGGTATTGGGACAGCAGCGTTAAAACTGAAAATACAAGTTGTGGTCAACTTCACTGATTCAGTAAGTCTGAAAGAAGAACTGGCCTCATTAATGAATACGCGTTTAGCACCTTTGAGGATTGGCACAGATGCTGTAACTTTGGCCGTGAGCATTGCAGGGCTTCAGCTGTGTGACACGTCTGTAGTCCCTGAAGCAGCATTTCACTAGCGCTTTCAACTGAGTAAGGAGAGAGTAAAAATAGCCGTGGTAAACTTTCCATATGTATCACTCAAAGCTGGAGCCCTGGAGGCGGGGGAGGGAGTCAGTGTCTTATGCTCATAATTAGGGATGCTTTATGACAATGCATAGTTTGTACATAGTGCTGTCAACCAGAAAACATGAAGTACTCTACAAAAGCAACTGATACCATCATCTGTGTCGTATGAGGAAACTGAGGAGGGACATAGCCCAAGCCACAACCATACAGCTAAGCAGACTGAGCTAGAGGTGATTGTGTCCCGTCCTCCTTTGCTGTACTCGCTGTCAGCAACCCTCCCGACGTCCTCTGTCCCACTGGCCTCTTGGTGTGACTGAGGGCTCTTATTACTTTGTGCAGGGGTAATTAGAAGTCTGGGGTGTGGATTCTTAATAGCCAGCTTACACAAGCATGAACTGTGTGTGCAGAAGGAGACCAGAATTTCTGGTAAAACCAATTTGTATAATTTGAGGCAGTAACACGGGGGGGGGGGGGGAAAAAAATCACTTTCTGCATCACTATTCCTGTTGTACAAGAATCTAATACCACAGGGGAGCTTGCAAGAGTGGGGAAGGGACTCAGCCTTTGCTCAGAGAATACTGTATTTTAAAGATGAATTCCCCAGGTCATTTTGTACTTCAGTCGGACGGTGCTTGCTGAGTCACCAGCTGGGCAGCGTTCTTGAAGACAGAGTATCACGGAGCCAAGCCCTGGCTTTCAGCTCCAAGAACCTCACACATGTCAATTATTCATGGACCTTGCTTATGTCATATGTCCTTTGGCCTCACAGTAAATAAATTTTACATGTAGCTGTTCCTGCTGATGTTCGTGGTAAGCGTTATGTCTCACCTTCTGATTGATGGCCTAATGGTAAAGGGCTTAAAAAGATAAATCTGTTACAGTAACTCTTCCGTCTTGGAAAATTGGACTGTCCCTGACTAAAATGGTCCAAGAGATTGTTTTAGTTGTCTGTCAGTAAGAATACAAAGCAGAAAAGACATTTAACCTAATGACAGGCTACAAGTGCACTAATTTGGTGTCCTGATACTTTTTTAAAGTTTTGTGTTGTTTTTTTTTTTTTCTTTCAAAATGGTCACATTGCCTGTCTGCAGAGTTAGATACTGAATAGTTGTAGCACTTATTTAATGATGAAGGGCTGCTTTAAATTCAGAGAGCTCTGTGGGTTTTTTAATGATGCTATAAAGTGTATCTGACTTTAATTGGCATACTGTGAAATTGAAATTGTTTATTTCTAGAGTACCTATTGTCACAGCAGCAAGGTGTTCCGCTTACAATATGAGCTCTCTTCAGAAACAAAATAACATCGGATGGTGTGAATCCAAAGCAGATAAATGTTAAACAAAATTGCCATACTAAAGCAATTGTAAATGCTGAAAGAATTCTCTTGCTACCCTACGCTGCCCTGTTATCCTGTGATTCTCTTTCAAACGTCTGTTTCCATATTCTGCCTAGATTGTAAACCTTGTAGGAAGAGGACTTTAGCATTTCTCACGATACTGGAGTTCAGGATGGTATTGCAAAACCTACCAGCATTAATATCATTCCATTACCATTTAAGTGCCACATAGTGGATCTTGTTCCAGTCCCGTTTTCTTGTATTCCCTAATGCTGATGCATTTCTACCTGGTTTTAAAACAATGCAGCAGCTGGTAGATCACCAAATTGGATGCTTGTGCTGCCTTCAAAGGTACATGCCTCCAGCTCTCCCTACCCAACAGCCTGAATGAAGTCCATGAGGAAAAAAGGCTTTGCTCCAAAATCCTGTTAATATGTGTACCATAGGCTAGGCTCTTATGACTGTTTGCTGGACTGTTTCTAACAGTAAGGCATAAAAAATTCTCCTAAAAGAGCTTCACAACATCTCTGTAAAAACATCAGGCCATGGCTGTGGTGATAGACCACCAACGTGAGCTGCTGCTTGGTTACCAAGAGGATAAAATTTTACTCCAGGGAGATATTTTTAAACAGCTGCTTATTCATATTACAGTAGATGCCAAAAGCACCCTTATGCTCAGCAGTATAGAAATATTAAGAAAATTCCAGTTTCACAGAGGCTATCATCCAGTCTAGTTTTAACTTCATCATAAAGCCAGGCAATCTTGACAGCCTGTAGTTGAATGATTAGTACTGGATTATTCTTCTATTGTAATTTTAATTATTAACTGGTTATTCTTCCATTGTAGTTTTCTCTCTTTTGCACATACCCAGTCATTTAGCTGCTTGAAAGTCAAGAATTACCCAGGCCTACCGTACACCTCACTATCAGCTTGGCAAGGAAGTTGAAACCTTCCAGGTGTGCATTTGGCATAGCCTGAACTGTAGGTTTTTTCACAGTCATAGCAGTGACAGCAGGACAGTAGACAGTGTAGACTGGCAAAAAGACACGTTCTGCACAAATAATTTTCTACTAGAAATGTGTTCTCTTCTGCACTCAATTATTCTTTATACAGTTTTCAATAGGAAGGGGAGTTATACATAGAAATTTTCTGGGTAAGTATTTTATAATTAACTGAGTAACAGCTTTGATTTGCAGCTTCCCTAACAAGCTGTAGTGGCCAAATACTGTTGTACTCTTCACTTCTTCCTAGCCACTGTTGTTCCTCCTCGATCCCGTCCAAATTCCTTTATATTTTGCATACTTTAAGTAAAAACTAGCACACAAACTAGAACCGTTTTGTAGACTGGATAGGAGTATTAGGGAGCCATCCATGACTCTCTGTGAACCCTCAGTTTTATGGAATGATGTGTTTTTACAGTTACAAAATAAGCTTGACATATTTAAACTGGAAAAGAAGAAAGGAACAATTTACACTGACCAGAAACTGAAAAAATGAACAGAACTATCCTCTCAAATTCTTCTCCTCTTTGGTGTCTTTAGCTACACTAAAAAGGCAGTTTAGTCTTTTTGTTCCAGCTGCCTGGAAAGAAAGGCAGGCAGAGGAGTAACTATCTTGTTTAACGGTGGAAAGGTTGTTAGCCTCCAGAATATCTAATTGAAATTCCTGAGAGTGACTCTGGATAGGGGAGAAATCTAATTTATGATTTGCTGTGCTGTGGAGTGCAAGATAAGAGGTGTTCGTGAAGATGGTGAAGATTAATGAACAAACTGACATTCCTTTTTTGGAGGCTAGCTCTTTTCAGCCTGTGTAATATTTTTATTCTTTACTAGACCATTTTAAAGTTTCAACTTGAAAGCTAGTGTTTCCTAAAAACAGATTTTAAGGAGCTACAATGGGTAGGAAGGGTGCTTTGTTTTTTATCTCCTTCTTTCGTTTGTTTTGGATAGTTTGTTTTTTGTGATGCAAAATGTGTTGTTTTGTTTCTTAAAGAGATGTTTCTTTTCTCTACAGGTATGGTGTTAGTCCTGAGAACATTATTCTCTATGGTCAGAGTATTGGTACTGTCCCTACAGTAGACCTGGCATCTCGGTACGAGTGTGCAGCAGTAATCCTTCATTCTCCCTTGATGTCTGGATTACGGGTAGCTTTTCCTGACACTAGGAAAACCTATTGCTTTGATGCTTTTCCAAGGTATGTATAAATGCTGCAGAGGGCTGTTCTATACTCGACATGCTCTTTAGGTGTTGAAAAAGGACTAGTTGTTTAACTTTCCAGGGAACTTTATTGAATTGTCACCTGCTTCTTAAATTTAAGGTATGCACACCTTCTAAATCCAAGCAGAGATTCACCGTGTAAGATAAGAAAGAGGCTGATGTCAGTGTCAAACTGACATGATAGTCAGCTCAATGAACAAATAAAGCCTTAGTGTTTACAACTAATTTTTCCCCTGTTCTTTTGTGTTATGGGTTGTTAATACCAGAATTTTTATGCTGTCAAGTTTGGAGTAGTAGCTTAACAACTGATAATACACTATTAAGTCCTTCAGGCGAATGACTAACAAATTAGTAATTGTACACTTAACATCTCAGTCAACTTTGATTTAGAAGGTAATATGATATCATTGAATGGATGTGCTGTTTTCAACCTGCTTGTTAAAATATTGCTATAGTTTTACCAGATCAGCAGATAAAAAAGAATGGGTAATTGCTGCTTTTAAAGGGAGAAAACGAGAGGGTCAGAGGCTAGAGTGTTAGACTGGTGTGATTCACACTTTGGTTTAATCCTGCATTTCACGTATAATCTCAATGGAATGCATTTAGTGTTTCCTTACCTTTGGTCCTTGTAAGTAAAAACCCTTGTGCATCTTTGCATGCTGTCCATATAGAATCACTAAAGATACCGAGACTTGTACTCGTTCCTCCCTGATGGACATCATGTAAGATCCTAATGTCTGTGACCAAAATTAAGTAATACTGCCCCTCTTTTGGAAGATTTTTATCTTGTTTTAGGATGTTCTAGAATGTTTTACATACTGAAGGCTATATACAGTTGGTTTCAAGATAAAACAGTTGCCTCTATGGCCTGGTGTTTCATTTGGAACAGACCTAAATTAGAGTATCTAGATATTTGGGAATACTAGAGGTCCTGGGAATAGCAGATGTTCTAGGAATCTGTTAAAACTTCTCGTTTTACCCGGTTTAAATTATGGGAGAATGAGAAGGGAAGCCAGTCTCTATAGCAGTGTGTATAGACCTGGGGGCTGTGAGGGGAGGCACAGGTAAAAAGCTAAATGATGTGTGGAAGGGAGAAGGCAGCAGAAACTCACTGAAGTCTTGCGCAAAGCTTGGCTTTGCTTCAGATCATGTTTGCAATGGGTGTAGTAGGGGATATTCATAGCATTTGTAATGTTTGCTTTATTTTGGTTACAACAGATAAAAATTAGAAGGTGGGGGAGGCCATAAATAGAAATCTGTATGCTAAACCAGCTAGAAGTGATAGTGAGCAAGTGACCCAGTAATAGTGGCTCTCACAGTACCTATGTCCAGTCCCCATGCTTAGAATTCTTCCGAATAGGTTATTAATTAAATAATTAAATTGTTGAAGGTGCAGTCATACACCTATACCCCAATTCATTCATCATCCTCAAACCTGAAATCAAATATTTACAGATACTTCTGCGAGAGGGAGAAAACAAAGCCTTAAAAATAGCTCTGATTTACAAAAGTAACCATGATTAGCTGGTATCGGCCAAATCAAATAACACTTTAAAAAAGAAAAAGTGGGAGGGGGGAACAGTGACAACAGATGTACTGTAGAACTTGAGTATTTTGTTCTTACCCTACTGAGCTGTTCATTGCTGTCAGTCTGACTTCACTTCTACTGTAAGCAGTGAAAATAAACAGCAGTGCACTTTTATGAATGTGTGCAGTTCAACTGTCTGTCTTCCCGGTGGGAAACAAAATAGTTCTGTGTGCACCCACAGTGAATTGCTATTATGTGCATTTTATGTTGGGACGCCATGCGAATTTGGTCTCTGTAGATTTTTCTAGCTGCAGAGCTGTATGGCTAAGAATATTAAGTAAGTCTAATGTGCAGTTTAAATACTGCCTTATGAGTCGCTGAGTTGGCAATGGGACGCTTTCCAGTTTTCTGCAAAATACAAATATTATCTAGCTTAATGGTCTGTGAATATATGTGGAAAAAATAGTTTCATTATCTGAATGCTGAAGTGAAAGGGGTTTCCTGGTGTCCTACAATAAATGAGAACTTAGTATCTAGCCACTAAAATTATGTATAAACATCTCTGTAGCTGACATGTTTGTCACGTTGTGGAACTCAGGGACAGACCCTTCATGGGCTTAAGGCTTCAGTTTATATAGCATGTTGATTATAAAGTATTTCCATTTGGCTATGATACTAATTTGGGGATGAAAATTATGGAAAAAAAAAAAGAAATCTGCATCATTCCGATGTGTCTCTTATGTTCTTGGGATATTTTTCTGTATTCAGCATAGCTGCACACAACTCAAGTTCCAGACAGGAAAAGTGAAATAGGCTGCATTTTAATTTTAAATAACACTTTTCCTCTTTATATGACATGAAGCTTGTTTTTTTGGAGAAGTATTGAGACGGAGACAGAAATGTGTTTACACTCAGCTGTTTACTGGAATACCAATGACGGTTCTCTAGAATACTAAATGCTGAGGTTTATATGTGTGAGGTTTAGTGCCTCAGTCTACATCTTAATTTTTAATTAACTTTATATTTTCATAAAGCTTCTTTAAACCTGTTTTTAAATCAGTGTATGTTGGCATCTGCATTTTTAAATAATTTTAAGCAGTCTTGATCACTCGTAAAATCTCTGGTCTTAACCAAAATTGCATGCTTTCTTCAGAAGCAGGAAAATCCAAACGTCTTTTATTAGATAGCGTAAAGAAATAGACTTGTCCTTCTGTTAAATATTTCTGATACTAATTTTCCCACCCACTTCATCCCATACTCTGCATAATGTCCTTGAGCCAATTCTTCCATTTGTTGATGTAAGTGGAGCTGGTAGGAAGCTGAGAGTTCATTAGCACTTGGTGTCTATATACTGATTTGGAATTACTGGTAAGCAGCAACATGAAATGGCTGTCTGGAAATAAAAGCTGCATGAAGACAGTCAAAGAAAGCTGCTGTTTACCACTATGAATTTTGTGTGCTGCCAGTATGCTTTATAATTGGGGTTTTCTGGCCTGAACAATTAGGTATGAAGGTACCTTTGTCACTCTTCCCTTTCCTCTGAACCCACTTTCCTGTGAGAGGTGGTCATTAGCTGTACTGGTCTGGGAAGTGTAGCTGGAACAAAAGGAAACAAGTTTATTTCAAGGCCACCTTGCAGTCAGAGCCGGGGAGGAAGTTGGTTGTATGAAGTAAAATCCCGTGTGAGCTCCTCTTGGTTAGCAGTTGAATATCCTGGTGTAACGCTGTTCTCCCACAGTTTTCTTTCATCATTTGAACTTAAACAATTAGTACAAAGAACAGATTTTTTTCTTTAGTTGAATTTGCCTAATTTGGGGGTTTAAAAACAGGCTCAAACCTCACGAGGCTTTTTTATAACGAAGTCTTATGACTGGAATGTAGTTAATTAGCTCCTAATCTGTTAAATTGGAAGGTGATAATGTGTAATGTGAAGAGTCCACACTGGCAGCATGTCCCATGGAATCTTACTTGCCTCTCAATGGTTTTTTTGATAGATACACTCAGTTTGGGGTTTTTTTTTTTTGTGCCAAACTTTGTGTGCTGCCCATCTGAGCTTCTTGTCATTAGAACTGGTGGGATGATGGTGATGGCAGTGCAGGCTCCCGTATACGTCTGGGGATTGAGCCTTGCTCCGTATCAACTCGGGCACAGTTCCAGTGGTTTGGAGCCATTTAAAAACATGCAGTGGTAGCTGGATCATGTATCAATAGCTAAGATGTGCTTTTCTTTTCTATCCCCCAGCATTGACAAGATATCTAAAGTAACCTCTCCTGTGTTGGTAATCCACGGTACCGAAGATGAGGTAATTGATTTCTCCCACGGCCTGGCCATGTACGAGCGATGTCCACGAGCAGTAGAGCCCCTCTGGGTGGAAGGGGCTGGGCATAATGACATAGAGCTTTATGCACAATACTTAGAGAGACTAAAACAGTTCATATCTCATGAACTTCCCAACTCCTGAAGAAGCCTACCTGATTTTACCTCAGTTACTGTGAACGGAAGAAATTACCTGGTTTTGCACATGCTTTAACTGGATAGCTGTAATAGCTTTATACTATGAAGAAATACCCTGTCTTTAGGGTGTTCTAATCAAACATCTGACGAAATTTGTCTTTTATATCTGGAAATTATTCTACTAATGCACACAAATATGGTCAACTACTGTAATTCCAACAATTTTTAGCTTCGTTGCCCTGAAGGAAGTGGGAATACTAGCTGCTTATGGGGACACTTTTTACCTAGTGCTGTATTAATTGAAGATCAGTTTTCTCTTGTCTCACTTCAGATCGTTTATAATTCTGTCCTACAAAGACTTTTTTTCCCAGTGTTCTCAGTGTGGAGAACACAACTGTTATGAGCTACAGCTTGTTCTGAACAATCACTCATGGGTTCAATCTAAGGGAGTGCTTTCTCTGTAAAGTTTCTAGCTGTGGTATTGTAACTGGAAAGTTATTGTGATGAAGTTCCCCCTCCTCCCTTCTAGTGTTCTTTTGTTAACTTACTGATCTTCCCAAGTAAATTATTTAAATATACTTTTTTCCTGAAAAATAAGCAAACTACTATATGGGGCTAAACTCTGTAACAACCTCTTCATTACCTGTATAAACATAACTGGAATATTCTTAAAGGAACTAGGGACAAAATCGCTTTTGTTTAAAAAATAAATGTGTAAATTTACTACTAGAAAACTCATTTTAATATTCAGATGGTCTGAATAATAGCCATAACAGACATTTCCTTCTGTAAAGCATTCCTGTAGACTTTTTAAAAGTACTGTACATATTTGAATTTACATTGTGCATAGATTCTTAATTGGTAGTTTTAATTTAAGTCTAGTTACAATAAACTGCAAAATTCTGGTTTGTATATGATTGAATACATTTTGTTAAAATATGTTTTTATCCCTATATTATTTTGCTATTAAAGTTTTATAAAGTTTCCAGGACAAAAAAAAAAAAAATTTACACATTTATGTTTTGATGAATTTATGTAACTAAATTTTCATTGAGCTGATCTTTTTAGTTTAGAAGTAATTTGATTCTTTGACACTGGAATCGCACAGATTATGCATCAGAAATGCAAGACACTTAAAAATTGTTACACTACTAGCATAGGTCTAATTTTTTTCCAAATTTAAAGGCCTTAAATGTACTGTAAGCCTCAGATTGTTGTATAAATCGATCGCGATTGATTGCAGTTTGTGTCCTGTTGCTAGAATGCAACACAGTGATTGTAATGGAATAAAGGATGCATGGATTAGAGCTTGCTGAATTTTTTGAATCTTATTTGGTGCATAATTTTCATGCACAAGGGAAGTGTATAGTCCAGATTACTTGATAGAGTAACTTGAATTTCATTATTTACTTCCTTCTGAGGAAAAGTCTCCTAAAGTCCAAAGCCACATTTCCATGAAGCTTGGTATGTAAATCAAATGTAAAAGAGATTACTTTTAAATGGTGTTCAGATGGTTTGAAGTAATGAAAAATTATGATTCATTGCCTAGAAGAAATGTTTGAATGTAGTTGTCATGAGGCCTTATAACAAGCCTGCAGTTAATTTTCAATTTTTAATTGTGTCTATTGTTTTTGATTATTGACTTGGCCCTATTACTTTAAAAGGAGAAAAACTGCTATTTTCACTGACAGTGGGGGGAAATTAGGACACCCGTCCTGCTCCACGTCATCTGGATCCTCAGAATCTGGATCTGTGCATCTGTTTTGTCCAGTTGTGAGTTTTTTAAATTATCCAAGCAGCAGGGGCCCCAGCTGTTCTCTTGGTGACTCTTCCAACCAAAATTGGCAACTTTTGCCTGATCATAACCTCAAGTTTGCCACTTCCCTCCTGTATTTTAAATAAATGTTCAGATACATGTCTCATTTTATTTATTTTGTACCTTCATAAATCTGCAGTGGATTTCCTTCCATTTCTACACGTGTTCTTCCTGAGACTGTAGTCCTGTGGAAACAAAGCTGATGTCTAAGATACAGGTATTCAAGGTAATGGTGGGACTTGTCAGCCTGTCCATATAGTGACTTGGGGAGTTTTTACATAATAAGGTAATATTTTTTTGAACTTTGTGCTGCTCTGAAAACTTCAACCTACACTGTCTCTTCTCCTCTTCTTCCTTGGTAGCTACCCTCTTACTTCAGCAAACTGTTACTTTTAACCTTTTCCCTATAAATCAATTTATTTAAAAAAACCCGCAAAAACTACTACTTTTCTAACTCCTGCAGTCATTTTGGGACTTGTCTTTGCATTTGCTTTGCTTTGTGTCAGTATTCTGTTAATGAGAACCCCAAATCTGACTTCAGCGTTGTCATACATGTCCCATGGTCTCTGCACATGCAGCCCAAGTTCACAGTATTCTGGCTGAACATGAATTTCCACTTGTATTGTCTTTTATGTGTCCAAATCCCTGCCTAATTAATTCTCAGAGCTGCCTGCATGTTCTGCTGGCTTCTGCATTTGCTGCTAATTAGAATGTTAATGACATATCAGTGGTCATCTTCCCTGTCCTTTAATCCAATAATTTCTTTACATGTTTGGTCCACTAAATTTTCCTTGTAGCCCTATTCCCATCCAATAGTTCTTAAATGAATTCTGAAATGTTTATCATTTTGTGACATATCCTTGACACAAAACAAATAATAGTAGTAGTGAGCTGCTTTATATTGTAAACTTCTACAAAAGCATCACTGTTTCAGGCAAAACACTGCTGCTGATCGACATTAGAATTATTCGTTGAAAAAAAACCTGTGGCCAACTCATAAAACTATTTATAAGACAGTGGATTTCAGGTCCCCATTTTTTTGAAGGAAAAAGGCTAGAACAGAATTTTTAAACGATGGGTAAGGGGGATGATGTGAGGTTATGAAAGAGAAACTTTGGGCTAAAAAATAGTCTGTTCCAGCAAACTGTTAACATTCTCTCATTTAAATGTATAGCGTGGGCCTTTACAAGAACTTGTTATGCATATTTTAGAGCTACCAAGGTGTTACTGTAAAAATGGCTGGCTGTGCCTGGCTAGATTATGCAACGGGACTTCCAAGGGTATAAGTGATCACTAACACTTTTTCTTGATGTCGATGCTCTATCCGTTTTTCCTGTGTGACTTACTGTCTTTGTTCTTATCGTACAGCCATGGGTGATGTACAGCTTTTTTTTCAGGAAGGTAAAATGTGGCTCATCTGGTTTTCTGTCAGTAGTTGTCTAGTGTTTGTACTTTGAAAAAGACAGAGGAAAATATTTATTACAACTTTAAAGGTAGCATTTTCCAATGAGTTTGATATGCATTCTTTTTATGTTTCTGTGCCTTATAAATTTTATTTGTGTTCACATGGGGACCTGGTACCTGTGTTGCCTCTGCATTTTTTTTTTTTCCACATTCTTCCATGTCATTCCTTCAGCTTGTGGCAGCTGTACTCTGGGTGCTGACCTCTTAATGCCCAAACCTGTATTTATGCTTAGTATTGTATACATCTTTTACAAACTCTGTGGTTTATTGGCTTTTTCGAAATGATGCTGAACACAGAAGTAGAGAAACAGTGCATTTCCTTCCTCTGGTTATTCCTTCAGCAGTAAACCTTGATGGTTCTCCGCTGGAAAATATTTTCTTCTCTAGGTCTGATCTCATGAATGTAATCTCGGTTTAGTTCATTTTAACTTATTTCTCTATATCCTTCTTTGTGGAATTCATCAGCCATTTTAGCTCTGAGATTTCTGTGTTGCAAATGCAGTTGTGTGCTCTCCCACACAAGGGTAGGGTGGTTCTTCAGTGGTGGGACTCTGCTACTGGGAATGAGGCCAAGCACAGAAACTACCTGCTTAGTATTTATGGCTTTTCAAAGTACAGCAGTAACTCTTAGATCACACGGGTGTGAATTTCAAAGCGGGAAGTTGAATTTCAACTGTGCAATATTTGGTTCTCATAACTTTTTGCTGCAACAGTCAAAAGCACAAGCTGGTCCTTACAGCAGGAGAGTGAGCCCTACTCTGGGGCTTTGCTTCTGGCAGTGTCTGGTTTTGAAGCTGGGTTTCTGCAGTAGCTAAACTAATTTTGCAGGAGGTAGAGTAACGTGCCTGCGGCTTAAAAAAAAAAAAAAAAAAAAAAAAAAAAAAAAAAA